GMGCATTAAGCCGAAAGTTCTGCTCTGAAATTTTAAAGTTAACAGTAATTAGTGACTGAAAATTAAGGGAAAAATGCATATTTGCGCTTTGCTTATTACAAAAAGTAAAAAATAGAAAACGGACAAACCCCAGGGGTACACCACATATGTGAATGACCCGGAACAAAGGCAAAGCTTATCTGCATCGCTTGAAGTCTTAGCTAACAAGAAAATCATTAATGTCAGAAGTTCCGAATGAGTTACAATATATTTTGCATTGTTTCTCTAAAACTTTGTAGCAAGGTGTATTGCCCTAAGTTGTCAAACGAAGCCGTCTGATTATATCCGACTAATAATATTTTAAACCTTATTCCACCATGTTCAGAAACACCCACTAAATGCACGACTTTCAAAAAGCAACAACCTTGCTTTATCCTAGTTAACCTATCTACTATAAATTAAACTTCCATCGTGCACACGCTTTTAATATCTGATCGCATTATGAGTCGATCGGAGTTGAAACCCTGGGATTTGATCTCGCGATGTATTAATCTTCACATGGGAAAGGGCAATTAGAAATAAACAGATCCTTGTCCCTTTCTATTTAATTCCATCAGGGGTTCAGGCATTATTTTCTTCAGTAGCCCCGAGTTGAGTCCCTGATTCTTCCATTGTTTATAGAGATTGCCCATTGTTATTAGGAACATTATCCATGATTTAGCCAGAATCGTCGATTTTGGGGACTAAATATTGGAGGCCGCAGGTCATCTTTGTGTTATGTGGATATAATTTACAAATAATAAATACTTATATAAAATAAATAAATAGGTAGAAAATACTATATTCGATGATACGATATATTTTTAGGGTGTCTCTTTCAATCATACCTAGCGGACACCTAGCGTGTGCTTTTATTCATTGCAAGATCACATTTTTTTGCATGTACCGATTTTATTGAACTTCTACTCATTTAAGCTTATTGCTAGCCCTGGTATCCCCTGCAATTCTGGTGCACAGGTAGAAAATTATTCCTTGCCTTCACTTTTTCTCTCCATCGTGTGTTACAGGTGCCTGGGCGTAAGTGGCTTCTTCAATTTACCTCCTTAGTATTTGCTAGTGCACTTTTGGATTTTTTGTGAATTTTTTATTTCTGAGAAAGGAAGCACACGGATTTTGTCGTTATAGTTGTAGTATCCTGCTAACTTCTCCGGAGAGCCGAAAGCGTTTCCAAGACTTCTTTGAGTTCTTGCTTGTGCAGCTAAAGATCCATCATATTGCATTTCATACAACGACGATAGAATGCAATATTTGAAAAACTGCTGCAAGCAAGTCGGACGTTTTCCAGGCACGACTATTGGGTCCACTACTTTCTATTGTCTACACCAATCATTTGTTCCTGGTATTGCATTGATCAACCTAATCTGTTTGGTGGAAAAGGTTTTTAAGGAAAAACTTGAAATTTATTCTTGAACAACTACAGCTATGTCGTGAGCAGAGATATATTATAGCATCCACTGATATGGATAATTCCATATTCGCCTTGGACATGCTCTCAGGGGAGCGGTCATTCTTCAGGGTGCTGTACTAGATATGTTTATGATGAAAATAAGTTTGGTGAATATATTATATATATATAAGTCGTGTAAATGAACCGTATAATTGTTAAATATATAAAGTGCGTTTAGGCGTAGGAAAGCTAACGCCGTAACCAGTCCACTCTCATACTCATTTTTTATATACTGCACTAACCGGAGAATCTGTCTGCAATAATAATTTGTCAAAATGCGTTGAAAACGATATAAAGCAGTACTAACCAAGTAAAATCCATTTTGACTAAAATTCTGTCATCCAAAATCTGACCCGTTTTATCGCTAAACATTTTTTTACATACAGGGTGGTTTTTTAGTGCGAGAGAGCCCATTATTTCCGTTGGTGTTGAAAAATAGTTTCATATAAAAGTTGTTGACGCACAAAGTGCGAACATTTTCAAAATATCTTATATGATACCAAGTGTCTCAGAAAAGCGAGGGAAGGTCAAAGTGACACTTATTTATTGCCTTCCATAGCCACCTTACAAAATGTAGCAACTTTTTGAAACTTTTATGTAAAATCAAGTATAATTTAAAAACGGTTGATTTCACATCTTAAAGTGTAAATGCAAATTTGTAATTTTGTAAATTGCCTATCTAATGACGTATTAATATACAGGTAGTTCCATTTTAAAAACAAAAGTTTTATTGCGTTACGTTAAGTTTTAGTTTGAAGTCCACAACACCCTGTACAATGAATTGATATTTTGGTTCAATATAATTCTTAACGGATCTGTGGTGATTGGCAAGACTCATTTTTTTGTACCTTTAACTCCTTTTTATTGCTTCTACAATTAATTTTTAGATACCATGTTATTAAGCAAAATTGGCATTACTAAAATGGCGATAATCTGCCAACGTCGCAAGTAAGAAAAAAACAATTTTAGGTGCATATGTAGCGTTTCAAGCTGCATTCCATGAGCTAATGAAAAATGGGTAGCGCTATTTAAAAAAACCACTATGATCTTGCTTCGCTTTTTTGAGTCACTCTGTATCATATAAGATATTTTTAAAATGTGCGCACCTTGTACGTCAACAACTTTTATATGAAACAATTTTTCGAGTTACAAACGTTTGGGAAAAAATAATATTATTTAAAATCCATGGTCCAAAACGAATGATGAAGGTATTGGGGAAAGTGATTTAAACATTTTCATTTTTTATCGCGCAGCGAGTATAGGAGTTTTAAATATATAAATAGATCTATTCAATACAAATTCAATGATGCATATTTCACTCAGTCTACAGCAATTGAAATACATTTTGTCTATTGTTGTATAGTCCGACTTTTTTGAAGCCAGTGGAAACGTACAATAGCCAAATAAATCAAACTGTTTATAAACATTAACATATCGGGAACGAATATAATAGAGTAATATATTTTCCCATAAAACGTATCGAAGATAGCATAATGAATAATAAGTAGCACATTTACCCATTCCAGAGATATTTTTGCATTATACGTATTGTGGAAAAAAAGTAAATAGAAACTTAATTAAAATTAATTTTAATACTGAAATATGAGATATCTATTATTTAAAATGGGAAAATTTTCAATTAATTAAAATTAACCTTCTATATTACTGTTTATCTTTAGAATCTTTAAGCATCTTTTAACTAGTCCCATAAGTTTCATATAATTTAGCTCGATGAATTACACTTTACATACCCCTTTGAACACTTAAAAAAAATTAAATATACCCTGAAATCCCGAAAGTCCTCTACAAAAACTTACGTCCACTTTATAACTACTGAATTTGAGAAAGCAAACAAAGCACCTTCGTTGGCTTCAAAGCCAAAAAATTGACATTTGCTTCATGAAATATTCATCCAAATTTAAAACATTTATTTTATAAGATTAAGTATAAATTTTTTGGGGGGAAATATGTAGAAGCTCTAACGTCATCGGAGTTTTAATGGAAATGTCGCGAAAAGTTTTCCACTAATTATGCAAATGGGATTTGGGATAAAAGGAAAATTATTTATAATGATATAACTTTGTAGGTTTCGCGAAAAATAAGGGTAGAAAAACGGTCAATGACTAACTAATTGAACGGGTTCCTAATTTTCAATGTTTTTAACTTTGTTGCAAATTTGTAATAAAGTTCCAGTCCAATTCTGTCAAGATTTTATACTACAGTCCTAGCAAAAACTAAAACCGAAATTTTGCTCTTAATTTTACGGATGTCTATAAAACAACGTTTATTTTTGTTTTATAAGACTTATTTCCTTTCACGTACAAAATTCGATATCGAGAAAAATCTGCTCACAGTCTTTAAGTTTTTTCAATATCACTTCAGCAATCAACTGCTCAGCTACTGCACAGTTTAATCAGTGAACTTGTTATATTGCAGAAGAATCAATTTGCGTGTAAAACCCAACAGTCTGCTTATGTATGTAGGTCTATCATGACGGATTTACGCCCTACCCAATACGGAAGGTGGAGTTAAAAGTGGACATTAACTCCGTCGTTATACGGTTTAGTTTTAAGGCCCACAATTTAAAAAGTAACCACAAAAATTCCGTGTCGCTTACATACTTGCAAATAATAATATCTGCAAAGTGTTGTATAAATGTAGCTGTTCCAAATAGAAAACTGAAGAAGCGGAAATAAATTGTGCACTGTTTTAATTGTAATCTTAATCTATACTACCTACTGGTCTGCCAAAGGACCGTTGATTTAAAAAACTCATAACTAAATATTAATGTTAAAGTTGTATTCTTAAGGGGTGATATTTAGGAAAATTAAACTCCAACGAGAAATTTTATTAATGTTGCGCATTTTTAATCCGCTTGAGTATCGAGTGTTCCCTTTAATTAACAGCATTTTTACATACCATTCATTATTTTTGGAGGACCATTTATATTTAAATTTCAAACTGGATTTCTAATACCCAATAACCTTCTTGGGCAACTTTAACGTAAAACCGCAAATCAAGAATAAAGGCCCAGGTTTACCGACTTAAATGCAATGCCTCTTCCAAAACAGTGTTCCTGATATTGTAAAATTCTACTCGGGTGAACTAAATTCCGGAATTGATTGGCACTATAGACCTGATATTGTGCACTATGAAAATCGTCACTGTTGCACTCTAACAAAGCCTGCCAACGTGCATGTTTCATTTTATTTCAAACTGGCATTAAGCGAATGGAGACTCCATAACATGCGGTTGGCGATAACCAACGAAACGTCCATTTTACATTTTTCATTAGGCTCGATCCCGCATTTCTGTTTGCAAGAGAACTAGTTGCTAGAATGATTAGTGGCTTGCGAGATTACAATTGGCAGGCCTTTTGCAACAAATTAATCAAAACCGTTAAGGGCATTACTAAAAGTGCTGAATTTGAGGTGGATATGGACTGTTACGATCGGTAATTTAGTTCAACCGTTGACACTTAACAAACTAGCAAAAAGACAATAATCATGCTTACATCCTGGCCAGGTTGGCTTACCGACGGGTGCTCGCCCTTGACATTCTGCAAGGCTTTGTTGGGGGCTGTGGGGGTACGTGCCTCCGGAGGCACTAAAGCCCCCGCGCTGCTTCCTGCCGGCGATTTTGCTTGAGGACTGCCAGTAGTCCTGAAAACAACATTTCAGACATCAAGTAATTGAATCATAGTACCTGTACGGTCTGCATATTAGACAAGTTTTTCAAAAATTAACTCCAACTGTCGTACATTATTACCAAGATCAATTATTCTTTCAGGTTCCTTGGTAATTTTGTTTCCTTTATGAAACGGATTTTGAATCTTGCATTCAGGTTATAAAATTTAGTGCTGCTTAGACATAACAGCTGAAAACCGAATTTGGTTTCTTAAAAACCTTAGAAAAACTAAACGAAAGAACAAGAAAACATTTTAGTTTTTGAATAATTTTTGAACTGAAAGCGAAATCGCTAATCGATAGCGGACGAGTGAGAAAAGATGATCTATCGAGGCATAATATAGATGATAATTAAACAAACTTTCAGAAAAATGGCATTTTGAAAATTGAATCAGCACTAATTTATTTTTAAAACGATTTATTCAATTTGTTTTGTTCGACTAATACTATTAATAAATGTTCAAAATCATATACCAAATCAGTATGCTCATGATGCCATATATTATAGGTGAAAAACTAAGCCAATATTATTATTATCAAAATTGGAAAACTGTAATTTGTCAAAAACATCATTTCTAAAGACAAGGTCTTGCTCTATATGCTCTTTAAACTATTTTTGACAAGCAAATCTTAATTCGCAGGTCATTAAAGAGCTTCAAATTATCTCAACCTATGCAATTGCTCGTCACCGTTCGAACATGTACATATATGGTAATTGAAATTTAATTATTTGGGATTATAAATATGAAAATAACGCAGCTTTAACAACGATCATTTTTTGGAAACTAACGAATGTTTGCTATTTAGAGTAACAAGCGAAAATAAAAAGTAAAATGAAAATGCGAAACTTAATTTCATAATGGAGCTTTATAAGAGTTTGCATTGTAATCTAAACTTGAGAATTGATTCGTAAAAAAGATACCGGATATCTAAGTTTGAATTTAAGAAATAACATTTATTAATTGTTTGCCAAACGACTGCATATATTTAACCAACATTTTGCATGCGATACCTGGCAATGCGGGAGCACATTTTGAAATAAACTCCAAATTTCCTGATTTGTTTCATTTGTACAACGTCCCGTTTTCAAGTAAAATATAAACCTGGTTTACAGCTGGTTGCAAAAAATTACAATTAGAATCGGTGATGTATCACAACAAAAAAAAATAAAGAAATTGTACAAAATGTGGTCTACTCACTCCAATACATTTTCGACATAGTCTAGTAATGAATTTACTGCAGCTAATAATTGGTTGGGATTTTGCCGCATATTATTGCGGACTTGCTAAATTCGTAATCTTAAATCATCTTTGGTTAAAACAGGCGTAGAATAAACTTAATCTTTTGCTTGAGCCTACACGTAAAAGTCCAGTGGATTAAGATACAGCAGGCCATTGGACCAATTCGATCAGAACGCTGAGTTGCACAGATAAATTTAAACAAACTTTTTCTTTCAAAAGGAATGAAAAATTCAAAAATTTGTTTTATTTTATGAAAAGTCGCAGAGTATAATTTTTTTCGTTAAAAACATCTATTGACACGTTAGTAGGCACTTACTGAATTAAAAAAACAAAAATTCAGCTTTTATTGCAAAATCTTTTCCCACATTCGCAGTAGTTATCGTCGGAAAACTTTTGTCTAAACATCTGTAGCCGTTTGGCAAAATTAATCAATTTTATTTTATTAAACCGTATAAGCATTATCTGTATTAAGCAACCTTTTTCCTAGCGGGGCGTTTAACGAATATAGCTTATAATGCAAAATCATATTATTTAGCGGGCATGTTCTCTAACGCTTGTGCATCAGTTTATTTGGTCAGACCATCTTCTCAGGGAACGACCGCTCGGCCTAGTCCCTTCCACCTTGCCCTAGACTAGTGGTCAACAAATTTATTAGGTAAAGAGCCAAAAATAAATATTACAACAATAAAAAAAATTGGAAGCTAAATTTGCTTTTTTAGTAAGCTTTTATTACACTGAATAAGTAGTACACTAAATAAAACTAAATTTCGTACTTAGTAAATATTTATTAATGCGAACGATGTGCCGGCATGTTCCTTGAAAAGTTTAAGTAAGTCAGGTTTGGATGTTGTTATTTTTAATTTTCTCTTTAAGATGTCTTTAATTTTTAAGTTCTCATCAATGAGACGACTTCTCAGTTTACGCTTGATAATGTTCATGCTTGAAACAGATTGTTTGCATTTATATGTAGAATCGAAAATGGAGATAAAAAGCAAACGCGAGCTTTTTCAGCTGAATGTAAGAGCCGTAATACCATTCCAAGCGTTGAAAATCATCAAGTCTTCTTTTCCAGGTCATTCAAAGCAGACCACTTATGTTGTGAACTAAGATCACAATTTTTCTTCTCCAATATTTCCAGTTCAACACAAAGACGTTCGAATTTAGAGCGCCATATCTCCTGGTTTTTTCAACCTGGAAAAATCAACTCGGTTATCGAAGCACCAAGAGGATTTTTGACAAATGCTAAAGTTGCTCTGCTGTTTTTAATTTCCTGAAACTGAGCTGAGAAATGC